TTTTTTTTTCAGAAAATGATTTCTTCAGTTTGGTTTTTGCAGCTGAGTAACAACTAACTTACAGTCAACTTTAGTAAGCGGTTTTATTTGACATGCAAAAGCTTTCTGTGATTTTAAGCATGAGTCTGTTCGCCATGAGCCACCAGCCTTCATTGCATATACGCACATCATCGTATCATTGTATGTCGGATAAACTAGAGATTGACGGTGTGACTTTATACAACCAGTCATTTGGTTATTTGAAAAGTTATCTCTCTTTTACAGAACCTTCGAAGATCACGCTTTAAAATTGTAAAAGCACAAAAGAACTGAAAAAATTTGGAAGACTCAAGAATAATATTTCTTATAATTCATTGAATACTTTCTTCAGACATATCGGTATTTGATCTGCATTTAAAATTCCAAAAATTTGTTGACAATCAATAAAACTTTGTAATAATTGATTAAAAATTTCTTTAAACAACTGATTTATATCCGTATTTTGACTCCATCTTTCACTAATTGTGTTTACAAGTGATTTAGAAGAAACAGCTCCAATTATTATTAAAAAATAGTAACAAAAAAAAAAAACAATAATGAACAATTAAATTATAAGACTTAATAACTGAAACCTTTTTAAATTTAATCTGCTTTGATGATTATTAATTTTAATCTAAATGATTATTTAAAATATTCTTTTTGTTAATTGCGCTTCTTAATTTGTCTCAAAAAAATTTGGTCAGTGGGTAACAATTGGGATCAGATATTGAGGAACATACTGCTAGCACTGCCAACAGTTTCCATATCAAAATCTTTTAAATTATTCTAACTGATGTATTTTTTTTTAAAACCAGTTGACCGTAGTATACAGACATAAAAACCAGAACAATTTTTTTTTTCGGATAATTATTTTGTTTTTCTAACATCATTTATTTTGGCAAGCGTAATATTACCGTTTTAAAAAATGTTACATAGCTTTTCTTTTCTTAACACTTAGATTTTCTCCCTTTTTTCATCATTCTTTTTATGAGATTATAGATGAGAGTCAATAAGAAGAATGTTGAGATAGAACGGGAATGACCAGAAGATAATGCAAGTTGAAAAAAAGATTAAATTAAAATAAAATCAATTTTGCGCTGCTTACAACTGTCCCAGTTGGTATGTATAATTCTACTCTGATCGATCCAAGTCCAGAAGTTTTCATGAAGTATGTTACTGCCACTTGTCCAGTAGTCATTGCTAGGCAGATTTTTCTGGGCTTCAGCTAAACATCAGCACCTTTATGTCTACGAATGTTGCTCAAACTGACAACAACAGGTCATGAGATCATGAACAAAAAAGTTGGTTTTTTACTCAGACAGCTTAGTCTTCTAACAGCAATAAAGCAGAAGAATGTCAGTCTAATTTCTCTTGCACTGAAAATAGTGGTACTTGTTATTTTAGGTTAGCAATAAAAAATTTTATAATCATTTTTTCAACGGTACTATATTCAGCCTTATATTGCACTTGTGCTGATAAACTTTTTTCGTTACTGATAAACCAGACGAACCCATCGCATAACTCTTTTTATTCATTTTTTTCTTATACCGTTAAGATGCACAATGCAGATGAATAACAGCAATTAAAACGGTAATGCAAAAATTGAGGTAATTGTAACTTATGTGTATTTTTTTGAAACAACTTTAACTACTTTTAAAAAAAATAAAGTCGCCGAGTTATACGCATAAACTGTTTTAATAGACAACAATTTTTTTTTGCTATTGTAATCACTGAGATTCAGTTTACAGTATAAACATACTCAACATTCTTACCGTTTATAAAATTACCCTCATACGTTGAGGCAATAGATACCAAACGGCCATCCAGTTTTTCGCAGGTCCTTTCAGCATCAAGCCAATTAGCTGCTGTACTGAAGAACTGAATGCATTTATTGATGTGTGAATTATAGATGGCGTTTCCAACACAATCACTTGTCCCACCTGATCCTCGTAGCGACAGTACCAGTGCTAATACCTCTAATAACCGAAACATCTTCTCCGAGAAAATAACAGCCTAAATTATCCCATAGCCAAGCTAGAATGAGGAAAGAAAATATCAGTGTAATCCATAAGATACCTGATAAAAGTGTAGAATTGTTTTTACTTTTATGTATTTTTTTGTCTGTTTTCAAAGTGAAAAAAATATGTCTACTATATTTATGAAAATTTTAACTGTCAGTTTTTACACTTAATGCTTGTACCTGACTCCGCACCAAACTTCATATGCACGTGCAAATAACTTACAATATAAAAATTGCAAAAAAAATATAGATCAAAAATGCCGTAATTGAAAAAACTTCAATAGTTTTTCTCCTCCTGCAATAGCTACAGTGAAATAGAGAATAGCATTTGAGCGAACAAATATTTACATATGATAACTGTTCAAGTTACTTATATAAAACAAACTTTCTACCGTAACATATATATCATCTTAAGACCAAAATTTCCGTTCCTGTTCTCTAAAGGAACTGCCAAAGAAAACAGTTAAAGCATCAAAAATAAGCTTAAAAAAGAAGATTTAATTAGTAATGCAAAGATATATTACAAGTATCAGGTCAACACTCAAGCAGTGATTAACAATTTAAGTAATAGCGTTCTATACCGGGTTCTTACCCTTGAAGTACTGTCCAGATTTAACTCCAAAACAGTATAAAAATAAACAAAGAAGA